CATAGCTTATTGGCTGAACAGCAAGCAAGGAGTAATACTCAAGATTATCAAAGAAGGCTTTTAGCCTTTTCTCTAAATCAAGGCATTGTTCAACATATTTAACTCCAATTCTTCCGGATATCGTAGCTGCTAAGTCATCAGCAAAGTAAAATGAGGCGCATTTTTGCAGGAAGTTATCCATATCAGCATGATATGTGATAAATACAGAAGGTGTTAAACTAGACCCTTACGGACCACCTGTATCTGTTGGGAACCATTGTGACCTAACTCCGTGGATTTCCACATACTCTCTCCTATTTACTAACCACGCTTTAATCCATTCAACATACCCTCTGGGTATACGCATCTGATTAAATTTGTCCACACACCCCTCAATCCACAGTTGATCGAATGCCTGTTTATAATCTACAAAAACTTTTACAACAGGAGAGCTATTAGCCATCATAGAGGAGATTTGTTCACTTAGAAGAAGAACTCTGGTTTTTAATCTGAAATTCGATCTGAATCCTGATTGTGTATCGGGAAGGATACCTCGTTTTTCAAGAACTTTATGAAATCTGATTAGGAAGAGCTTTTCAATAACTTTGAGAAAGACATCCAGAAGTGATATAGGTCTAGTATTGGATACCCTACAAATCGACTCCCTTTTGGCTAATAAAATAATTCAAACATCTCTCCATGCGAAAGGTATGAAGAAAGATCGAAAAGATTTGTTGAATAAATCTACAAACAACATCCAATACTACGGAGGTAAGAATTTGAAAAGAAATGTCGATAATCCATGTGAATCTAATGAAAGCTTCTTTTCTCTACTTTTGATCACCTTAACCCTTTCAGTCCCATAGTATAAAAAAAGCTACACCTGTTTTATAACTGTGTTTTACTACACGATCAATAAAAATCTTTTCGCATTCTTTTCGAATAAAGAAACAGAGAATGTTCTGGAAGTTTTCCAAACAATCTACTAAGGACTTATATTGTCTTCAATTGAGAAAGTTCTAGAATACTCTCGGCTAATCCTTTAAACACGTATTTAAGGCCGCGTTTTAGATTGACATCCATTTCAATAAATTATCGTGCAATCGGAATAAATCCCCTGATTTTTCTAGTTTACTCTTCAATTGCAAGTCGTATCAGTGGGAAAAATCAATGCATTCTGATCAAGAAAGTAACACAAGCACCTCATATTTCGATGACGACGATGATTCTAGAGACGACACCGAAAGTGACCTTGAAATAGATGAAGAAAGCGACATTGTGGAAGATGAAGAGGAAGAGGAATAAGAGTGGAGTTGGAGCCAAAACTTTATCCAAAACACAAATTTTTCTTCAGAGGAAGTCAAAGGGCGCACAACCATTAATTTTACAGAAAAAATGAAGCCAATCGATATCTTCAATAAATTCTTTTACCAAGGATATTGTTGATATGATTTTAACACAAACCAACGTTTATGGAGAGCAGAAATTCTTAGCACAGGGATCGACAAGTAACTGGCAAAATGTGAATGAAAGTACTGTTCGTTCCTTTCTTGGTTTACTGATCATTATGGGTTTACATCGAGTGCCTCAACTCAGAGATTATTGGAGTAGAAAGAAAATATTCTACACAGAAGTCATTGCAAATGTTATACCTAGGAATGAATTCTATCGGATATTTTCTGCACTACATTTATCAAATAATGCGAAACAAAGTCAATTATCAAAAAGCTTCAAGGAGTTCAGATTATTCAAAGTCTTTGACTTCATTTGCTTACTCAAAAGGAATTTTCGAGAAAACTTCGTTTTGAGAGCCAACATCTGCATAGATGAAAGTATAATCAAGTTCAAAGGAAGAAGTTCTTTGAAATAATATCTACCCTCAAAACCGATCAAAATTTGGTACAAAGCCTGGTGTTTAGCGGATTCCTTGACTAGATATCTTTATAATTTCGATATCTATACCGGTAAACAGCAGCTTTGAAAAGGAACCTTGAGTGAAGATGTTGTTTTACACCTTATTAGCGAACTCAATTTGGCAGAACACCAGTTATTTTTCGACAACTTTTTCACAATTCTTCCTCTCTTATTACAACTAGAAAAGGAAAGGATAGGAGCAATTGGAACAATACGAAGAGATAGAAAACTATTTCCTCAGGAAATCCTACAAAATGATAAGTTCGAAAGAGGTGAATATAAATACTATGCCTGTAATCAAATATCAGTCGTCAAATGGCAAGACAAAAAAAACAGTTTTTATTGCAAGCAATTCATTCGATCCAAGACGAACTGAAACGATCAGTAGAACAGAAAAAGATGGTTCAAAGATATTTATCACTTGCCCTGAAGTGGTTTCAAAATACAATAAGTTCGTGCGTGGCGTTGATTTATTCGATCAACGAAGCTCCCGTTATTCAATTGACAGAAAATCTCAACGAAATTGGATTTGAATATTTCTTTACTTTTTTCAAGCAGCTTTATCGAATGCGTTTGTCTGCTAGAATGACTTACGTCAAAAAAATACGACTTATGTTGAATTTGTCTGTTCTGTCTCAATGTCACTAATTGGTGACCAAAGTTCACGAAAAAGAAGAGGCAGACCTGTTCATTTGTCTCATACAAACGAAAAACAAATTCAACAAATGTTGGACAGTAGATCTTCATCAGTTTATTTATTAGTCCATATGCTTGTCGCTGGAACTAGAGGAAGATGCCGATACTGCAGCACGAAAGCCTCTCCAGTATTCAGTATCATAAAATGCAGCTTTTGTGACGTTTCTCTTTGTGTAAAGAAAAATAAGAACTGTTTTTTAATGTTTTACCAACAGCTTGTGTAAGTTTTGCAACTAATAAACTTCAGTAACTCCATTTTCCACTCATGTACATCAAAATTGAATGAAATCTATGTGTAGCGTGTCAAATCAAAGTACATACGAGTTATACATGGCGTACATATACGTCTCAGACAAACTTGTCTCACAATCTAGCCAAACTGACTCAGAAGAAATAATTTGGGACTGAAAAGGTTAAAGAAACAGCTTGTTTTAGTTGTTTTCAAGCTGAAAAATAACTATTCTTCTCTTGTTTCTCATGAAAAGGAAACCAAAAGATATTGAGAAGAAAAAACCAAAGATGAGAAGCAGCTCCGACTGGCAAATGACATAAATTGATCTTGAATTTTTATTCGTTGAAGGCTTATAAGCAAATTCGAAACAATGATCATTAAATAATTAACAAATGTCGTCATTCATTTATTCATTGATTGTCATTGTGAACTATATAAATATGCATTATTATTTTCAATGACAATAGAATATGTATTAGTTTGGATGAGAGAAGAATAGCGAAAAGAAAAATTTCGATTGCATAAAAAACACGAAAAAATATATTCACCTCAAAAATGTTGAAAATGGTCCGGATGTCTTTTATCGATGTTTAATAGTTACTTGATTGTTTGTCACTCGTCGTAACCAAACAAAAGACATGAACATCCACATAAAGAAATGTAGTTTTTTGTTATTAACTTCGTTCTTCACAGGAAGAGATCCGGGAAATGTTGAAAGGAGGTGCCACTTCGCAAAATCGAGTGGCAGATACTATCAAAGCATGAAATTTTGGAGAGAAATCGCTAAAAATTAGCATTAAACCAGCTTGAGATGAATGCTGCAACATTTCCTTCATCCTCTATGGATTTGTCTTTTGTTCTTGACTACATTTTATATACTATTATTTTTTGTTGGTGTGCTTACAGATCTCTTACTTTTTTCTATCAAATAAAATATCTTTAACTCACAGATCAAAAATCTCAAAATAACTTTTTTTGTTCCACTTTGTCATATGTTCACTATTGTCTTTTTCGCTTCGCCATTTTCTTCTTCGCTACTTTTCTTTCGGTCAATTTAATATCATTCGACGAGAGCGGTCACGTACGAAAAATGTACATATAACGGGTGGCGCAGAAGAAATTGCCGGCTTTTGATAGACTGTTTTTTAAAGTTAGACTGTGTAAGAAAATTTCGTTCTGGTGTCAAAAGATAGAGAATTTTGTGTAGATTTTATTGATATGTTCTTTTCAAAATTAGCATTTGTTCTTGTCTTGTAATATTAAAGGTACTGGATACTACAAAAACATTATTTGCTCAACTACAATATGAAACACTTTTGAACTCAAATTTTTGTACGGTTAATTATGGTTCAAAATTTTCTTCTTGTTGCTAAGCGATGCAGAATTTTTCGGTGTATTTAGTGGTGTTTTGATTCTTTTTAAGTTTAATTGTTTCTACTTCAAAAGACACAAAACATTAAGAAAATATCCTCGGCCAAAGGAATCGTACTTTTTGTTACCAATTTTCTCAAAACTTGGTTTTACAAGAACTACTCTTTTGATATCAACAGATGCAGAATTTCAAACTCTACAAAATGCTCCTCATTATAAGAGCTGAATTCCTTTTGTAGAGTAATAATGAGACTAAGATCTTTTGCATGACACAAAAAAGCATTAAAAACGGATAATTAGGCATTTTTTGCAAGCGGTTTATCGAATGACGAAATTTCATCCGCAGATTTGGTATTGGGTCTCAAAAACAGATAAGTCTCTGTATTCTATAATACTGCATTTGAGTAGTGTATGGATAACCATTTAACAAAGAAAACTAACACTTTGTTTCCGTAAAATACTGAGCAAACTATGTTTTTGTGGTATGCAGCACCTTTAATACCTCAAGAGAAGGACAAATGCTAATTTTGCAAAAAACATATCAATAAAATCTACACAAAATTCTCTATCTTTTGACATCAGAAAGAAATTTTCTCATACAGTCTAACTTTAAAAAACAGTCTATCAAAAGCCGGCAATTTCTTCTGCGCCACCCGTTATATATATGTTATAATATGTGTAAACTAAGGAGAATTAATAGGTGAAAGTAAACATGAAAACTTCGTTTTTTCAGTTAATTGATTTGACCGACGAAGTACTGATGATTATTTTAAGGAGATTAGCCAGTATCGATGTGTTCATTTCTTTAATGGGTATCAACACACGGCTTGATCAAATTATACGTGATCCAATCTTCACTAGACGTTTAACATTGTTGAGGTGGTCACCAACTGATTTTATCTATCCATTAGATAATACAATACTTGGTCGATTTTGTTTACAAATCATACCTCAAATTTGTCATAAAATAAAATGGCTCAATCTTGAATCATCATCCATTGAACGTGTTCTTCTTGCTACCGATTATCCTAATTTATATGGACTCGGCCTTCACAATGTTGAAGAGAAAACAACTATGAATATATTTAAAAGTAAGAAATTTGCCTTCGATTATTTGAATTACCAAAATGTGAGAAATAGATATAAATTATCAAATTTTATTCTATTGAGTTCTTAATATAATAAGTTAGTTTATTATTGATTTTGTACATTGAAAAATAATTTTGTATTTGATTAATATTTGACAATGGATACGCATGAGAAAAAAATTATTAGAGAACAAATCAATACATGAAGATAAAGATAAAATAAAGAGAGCATGGAAATTCACATTACAAACAATGTCTAGAAAATGACAATTCGGTTCCTATACGTTTCGATTTATCTCAACTTTTTTCTTACTTAGATTACTGGCGTTTCGACACGCTTCAATTGATTCTCATTTCGATCCTTCCCGTCTCAGTTCTAATTTTGTCAATTAGAATAATTTTTAATTATATTATACATAGAAGAGAATAACTCATATGATACAGCATGACAACGAAGGTATACAAGTCGTTAGCATTTATAACACACAGATACATCATTTATATATAATGAAAAATATTTAGGTTGCGTTTTTGTTATTCCACAAATTTCGTTTTTATGTCTCTATCACATCGAATTGTTAACTGTAAATCTGTGAGTTCATCATTGGCATATTCATTTCAATATGTATGTCTTGAAGTTGATCACTCATACGATATTTAGTTAAAGCTGAACTATATATATGGCTTCTGTTTTAACAAATGATCATTGTGGGATGAATTTTTAATGTCTATTCATGAACATAAAATGAAGTCTTATTATCTTTCAGTTGGATGAATTAGAATCGAAACATGAAGGACTGAAATAAGAATCAATCAAAGTGGACCGAGTGGGAAAATACTCAAACGAGAACCATTCGAAACGGAGAAGAACCTAACTGAGAAACAATTCTCTCGGACAGAAAAGAGTAGGAAGTGAATCCGGAGAAAACCAGTAGAAGAAAAGTTTGTTGTTGTGGTTTCTTTGACGCTGAAATGTGAAACTCACGTACGTTCTCTAGCCTCATGAAACTATAATAGTTGCTTTGTAGGATAATCGATCACCAAAGTAAGAAGCTCTGTAATTTTTGCATTTCGAACAGAGATGTATTTTTTCTACGGACGTCTATTTTTTCTTTGCATTGTTGTTGTTCGCTCGTTATTTTTTTGAGTTTTTTAAAATTCTTTTTCGTTTATTGAACATTGCTATTATTATAATCATTGAATTAAATGTTAAATGAGTCTGTTTTGCATACCCATGATATTTACAGCAGCTTCTTCACGCACTGTTATATATCTTAATCAATTCACAAACAACAGTATTCATTATTTTTCAAAATTATAACTTGATCCATTTGACAAAAAAACTCTAGAAGCTCTGACGCCTGTTACTCTCGATTGTTAAGGTCTATAATGGGGATGGGAAAGGCCCAAAGCTTTGACTTCAAACTTCCACTAATTCTTTTCTTCGAAAATATATGTGAGTTCCACAAAATAGTTTGATTTTATTAACATAAAATATAATGAACTTTCTTTCTAAATGATTTTAAATATTTGTTTAGATGAAACTTTAGTCTCCATGTTGAAAAAACAAATAACATCGCTT